ACAAAATATTGCGTCTTCGACAATATTACCATAAAAATGTGATATGAGAAGCGTGGTTTGTTTTGAAAGCTACGTGTACACTGTGATCCACTGGCACAAGTGGATATGTGGCATAGTAGTAGCATGATGAAAATAAACGCTGTATAACCAGAGTTTGATTTGCATCAGGGGTGCTGCTGAGACTCAGGAAAGGTAGAAAAGGCAATTCAGCCTGGATAAGAATTTCTTATGGGAGGCAAGAGTAAGTGAAATTCATTAGTATCATGAGGCCTATTCATATGGTTTTATAAAAATGCACTACAAGTTATTTAAAAAATTAAGCGAACTAAGATGACGAAAATTTTTATTTGAGATATAATCATAGTCTAGAAAGCCTACCAATCATGTGTATAGGCTAGTCATGATAGATGTCATCTTACCTCAAAATGTATAGAGTATTTTTGAACATTTTTAGAATTTGTTCGAAGTTGGCCAGCCTTATGCATTCTATCGCCTTGGGTTTCTGAAATTTCAGTGACCTTTAGCCGGCGATCAAATTATACTGGTCATGAAAGATGGGATTTTGCTCAATATGCCTCCTAAAAGGAGACCCTTTCGCTCTGGAAGAAGTTTGGCAAGGTCAGTAGAGCTGTTTTGAATGCTAGCCCTTATTTGAGCCGCACTTCAACAAGGCCTATTAGCTGTAGTCAACCCAGGTCGGATAAGGTGATGAAAGACCTATGATTACATCTTCCCAGAAGCGTAAGAGTAGCTTTTATGATTACATCGAATTTCAATTGACCATGTTCTTATTGAGGCTGGCCTGTAGTTTCGACACAATCAGGCTTTCATCGGAACCCCAAAAGGGCATCGACCACGAGTAGTTTAGTGTACATTTTTGACATTTTATCACTACATTTTCCATTTATAAGCAGGTTTTCGGGACCACTAGTATATCCTAAATAAAAGATGTTTTCACTCCATTTGCTTTGAAACGATGATGGATTTGTAGTTTACTTTTCATACAATGCTATGAGTAAACCTCATGCTTATAAATTGTCAGGAATCCTAGACACTGCTGATTTATACTTGTCCATATTTTCGTAATTATGATATATATTTAACTAGTTAATAAGCGCAAATAATGAAGACTTATTCTCTAAAATCTATTGCACATCTATTTTGACTTTATGCAGCCAGTAATTTTGCCTTAATTTGGGATAAAACTGAATCTTTCGTTGATTCAACCATACATTTAGAGGTGTTGAAATTGCGTGCCACTGCATCGTTGAATTAGGCCAAAAGGGCCCATTTCATGATCTCTTGACCGTCATGTAGCAGACTCTTTTAGGGCGCTGCAAAAACAAATGTATGGCTGATGAAATAGAAAAGGTTACTTAAGGGTTACAATAACACAATTATTAAGCACTTAGCACAATACGTAGTAATCGTAACTGGTCCGATTTCCTTGGTTTTGCACTATCAGGACTGCAACTGTGCTAAGTGCACTCTCATCGCTGAACGACAGCGCGTGATGGCAGCTCAGGTGGCGCTACGTCGACAACAAGCACAGGAGGAGAACTCGGCTCGTGAACTCGGCCTGCTCTACGGACCCGGTGGGCTGCTTCAGCTGAATACAGAACAGGTAGATAAAAGAGAAATTTAAGTGCTCAAAGGACTGACAGCACTAATGCCCTTCTTTATTCACTCTTACACAGAAACTCTGGACTAGTTGGATATACTTTTAAAGTCAAAAGGTTTATATATATAAAAGCATATATAGAAATATAATAAACATAGCGAGATGAATATTTATAAGTTCCTTTTTATTCACATATGCTTACACTTATTTTGATCCCTCATGATAATCTAAATTTGACTATATTGATGTATATATATGTGTGCAGAAATATAGGAAAATACGAATAGATAGAGAAATTAAAATATATGAATACTTCATATATATATATATTTATATATATATATATTTAAGATGGATATAGTTTTGGAGTCAGAGGGTCCTTATATAGAAAAATAAATATGGAACTATAAAAAACATGACCAGATAGATATAAAGATAGATGAAAAATTATGAGTTCCCTTTTATTCACATATGCTTACACCTATTTTGATCTCTCATGAGCATCTACATTGGACTATATTGATGTGTATATATGTGTTGGATGAATGAATGCTTCATATATATATATATTTGAGTTGGATATAGTTTTGGAGTCAGAGGGTCTTTATATAGAAAAAGAAATATGGAACTGTAAAAAACATGGCTTTATAGATAGATAAATAAATGAAAAATAATGAGTTCCCTTTTATTCACATATGCTTACACCTATTTTGATCTCTCATGAGCATCTAAATTAGACTATATTGATGCGTATATATGTGTGCAGAAATATGGGAAAATACGAATAGATATATAAATTAAAATATATGAATGCTTCATATATATATATATATTTATTTAAATTGGTTATAGTTTTGGAGTCAGAGGGTCTTTATATAGAAAAATAAATTTGGAACTGTAAAAAACATAGCTAGATAGATAGATAGATTAAAAAATTATGAGTTTCCTTTTATTCACATATGCTTACACCTATTTGGGTCTATCTCTAGAGCCTAAAGGGGACTATATCGATGAATATTTCAGACTAAAGTATAGGAAAATATGAGTAGAAATATAAATTAAATTATATAGAAGTGCTTCTTGTGTTTGCAGTTTCTTGAATCCAAAAGCTACATTTCCTTTCGCATTCTACATCTATTTGGCATTTGCATTCAGAGCAATCCATCCAATGTTATACCTAGTCATCTAACTAGCTATTTACTCCTCTTTATGTCTACATGCCTCTATTTTTATACTCATATATGGTTATTTATCTCGTCTTTGCATTTAGCCAATTATTGTCAATCATCTAGCAGCCGTACTGAGGAGCCTGAAGGACCAGGAGACCGCTGAATTGCTTCCAAAGGAAGTGAGCCACGGGCGGGAGACAGGAGAGTTTGAGTCTTTGGGACATCAGTTTCAACCACATCGTCATCGTCAAAAGCCACAGCAGCCTGACTACTCCTGCCAACATGAGGCTAGTATCGGGGTGGACTATTGGTTCGCAAAGCAGCAGTCACGGCCCACTCGGCCTGCACCAGATGCACAGAGCGTGGAGGCAAAAACGCAAGTTGACGGAGAGATGAAGCAGAAGGGGGCGATGAATGAAAGTGATACGAGGCCAAAAAAGTGTCAAATAAGTCAGAGAGAGGAGAAGAAAAAGGTGACAGAGGAGATTCTGGTTTTGGCAGAGAAGAAGATGAAAGAGGATATATTAAAGGAAGTGGAGAAGGAAGAAGAGACTGTAAAAGATGAAAAGGGTGAGGAACGACTGAAGAGTAACGACTCAGAGTACACTGATAAGATGGTTGTTTCGAGGACTGCTACAATGACAGAGTCAAGCGGGGAAAGTCAATGTGATGTCGGCGAGGCTGATCAAGGCTGGCCTGCGATTCAGGTTCCAAATAGTGACCTCCTCCGTTGTCTAGTGCCTTCAGGAGCCCTTAAATCTGCTTCATTTCATGCCTCCTCGATCCCCAATCCGAATCTTGGTTTGCAGCTTCCACGAGACAACCTAAACTGGACCTCTTTAGGAAATCTTGATAGTCATTCTCTTCCGGCCTATAGGCATGATCCGCACCAAAATCATCAAATCCAGCAACAGCTCAGTCCTAATCCTGGCCATCACACGACAAGTGAAATGGATCTGGTAGCTTGCTATCAGGCCCGAGCAGAGTCGATCGACTCTAGCATCGGACATCGTAAAGGCCTATCTAGAGAAAAGGGTGAGGTTGCAGACAAGCAAAATGAGCTGCATTTTGAGAGAGAGAATGGAAAGGCAGAAAAGAATGACGGGATGGGGGAAGAGGCAGAGGATGGGGAGGAAGAAGAAGAAGGAGGAGAAGGAGGAGGAGGGGAGGAAGAGGAAGAGGAAGAGGAGGAGGAGGAGGAGGAGGAGGAAGAAGAAGAAGAAATTGCGGATGATGCGAGCGAGGCTAAAAATAAACTTATGGAGGGTGAGGCCAAAGAGTCATTAGGCAAAACTCCTAGACGAGGTGAGTTCGAATGGAACGGGAATTTGTCTTCTGCATTCTGCAGGCCAGAAATGCATTTAGCAGAAAGTGGGGGATCAGCCTCCTTCATTCCCAATTATCCGGTTCCAGTAACGCGGAACGCAACCAGTATCCTTCACCCTCAATTGCTCGGGCTGCTTCTTCAAAACCAGCATCTTCATCAATTTCCTCATTCCCCCCTTGTTCCATCTCTTCATCCTCCGCCTTGTC